CCCCCCAGGCACCCCCTCCCTCCGCCCAATAAGGACATAAACTTCCACCTCTTCCAACAGCTAGTTCCAGCAAGGAGCCTATGGGTCCCTCCCTCCTTTTCGCTCTCTTTCTCCGAGCTTTTGCTTCGCTCCCTGAGCCTTTCCCAATCTTTTCCTTTCCCTTCTTTCCTTCAATCTCCCTTCACCTGCCGCGATCCCTCTCCCTCTCTGCTGTCTACCACTATCTCTTCCAGTCCACCTTAACTGGAGCTCCGCCTCCGACCCCCGTCCAGCCCTCTGCTGCTGCCCAGCTCCACCCCCTGCACGCCACCGCCCTGCCCATCCATTGGCCTGAACACCCGCCTATCCCATGTGGGACGCGCCTAGGGTTCATCCAGGGAGGGGGTGGAGCCTGGGGCTGGCTAGAAACCAGAAGAGGAGGGAGGCCAAAGACAGTGTCCGCAGTGGCCAGGGAATGGAACAGCCTCCTCAGGGACTTCCTCTCCTTCAAGAGGGGCTTCTGTAGGGTCACCTGGAGAGGGAAGGGTATGAGAGGTTACGGATACGCTGCTGGGGATGAAGACCTAGAATTTAGAAAGAGTGGGGTCCGGCCGAGGGGCTTTAACCAGGTCAGAGCCCCAGGAGGGAAGAGAGAAAGCCACTATCACTGAGCTGCAGCCTCTTGGCCCATCCCCCGCCCTCAGAGGGAGCGGGGGAGTGGAGGCTGCCGGCACTCTGTGTCCCTCCCCACGCGTGACGGCGCCCCGCGGGGAGGGAACAGTGCCCGGGGCAAGGAGCCTCTGCGCTCTAGCCAGTGCCCGTTGCTGCCTTGGCATTTTCTAAGGGGAGGGACCGAGTCGGGGAAGGGGGAGGTGCGCTCCCTCTCGGGCTCCGACGCTTTGCCTTCAGCCCGCCGGTACTTTTAGTGGAGAAACGGACCCTATAGTGGAGGGGTCTTGGCGCAGATTCACTCAGATCCCCAGGTGATGATAGAGACCTGGGTGTTTTAGGATGTTTGCTTAAGTGGGTTTGGGAAGAATCGGTATTAATATTTAAGTGCCGGCCCAACAGAGAATGGTAAGGGACGCTTACAGCTGGGCTGGCGATGCTACGTACCCCAAAAGGGCCCCTCCCACTAGTTTCAAACGGAATCAAATCCCGCTCTCTTGGGCCAGGTTCGACTTCGCAGCAGCAGGCCAGGCCGAACCGGGTCGGACTTGTTCTCTTTCCCAGCCCCCTCCGCAGGGGGCCTCCCTCCCTTTCCAGCAGGTGGCTCCGCAGGACACCAGCTCAACCTGTTGGACCACAATGGGCGGTGCCAGGGGGCCCCTGGCCCTCACCCGGGCTGACCCGGGATCCCCAAGCAGGGGGAGGGGCGGAGTCGGTCCTTCCCTCCCTCTTTCTCCTTCTCCCCCTGACGTGACTCAGCCTGGAGGCCGCTGCTCTGCCCCTCAGCCAGGAGCGGAAAGTGTGAGGCGCCCCAGAGGGCTCAAGCCAAACCAAACAGCCCCCCACCCCAGACATTATCTCACTGGAGAATTAGGGGGGCAATAGGGACCAGTGGCTAGCATGAGGAACTCTGGCCCAAGTAATCCGTTCCGGGTTTTCCTATCGTTGCTGTCCCGCCTTTCCCCGCCTCCCACACCAGTACGCCCTAGGTCAAGTCTGATCTTTGCTCCAGGTTTTCTTAGCAGCCCCGCAGGACTGTTTCTAGTCGGAAGGATTCCGAGCAAGATGTGTCTGGACTAGGGTTTTTCCCTTCCTCCTGATGTCAGGGTCTCGCTGACCAGGGAATAAGCTGTGCGGAGACAGCAGTGCTAGACACTTAAGTAAAGTGGAGGGAAAACTGCTTTTATGAGAAGGGTACAAGACCTAGGAAAAGGATTTGGGGGAGGGTAGGAAAGTGGACCAGGACCCCAGAAGAGCGAGGGTCTTGTCACTAGCTCTTAGGAACTTAGACGAGAAACGCTCTGCTGTCTCACCCCTGCCGCTGGAATAGCGTCTGGCTAGACATAACCTGGATCTTTCTGCGGCTGGATTGTCATTCTCCAGCAGTCCTGGAAATCTACTGTTAGTTCCTTAGTGGCTCTTTTCCATTCCATGTCTTTCTTTTTCTTGTGGTACAAATAGTTCCCTTTTATGTTGGGGGAGCACCGACATGAAATTTCTGTCTACCCCTACATCCTCCAATTTTGGGTCGTTAACTGCCAAACCAGAGACAGAGGCCAAGAAGCGCTGGAGACTCTGCCTCCTTATTGGCAGTCTGGCATCTCCCCTCAACCCCCTATCAATCGCCTATAAATATGAGCTGGAACTGGAAGGCAAGTGTGGGGTCTGCAGGGGCTTCCTGGTGAGCGTCCCCCATCTTCACATTCAGAATTAAATCTTTAGGCAACTTTCTAGATTCTAGACTTTAATGTATGAGGAAAGTAGGTGAGTAGATACCCCGAGAATGAGGTGTTTACCCTGAGAAGGATAAAAGTTCCAGCAAGAAGGGCTTTATACTTAAAGCTGGGGACAGTGACTCTTGAGTGGCGGCCTGGTTTCGAGACTGGCTGGTCCAAGCACACAGAAGTGGCTGTTGAGCAGCTACAAGTTTGTAGAGTCCTGGAGGAAATGTGCGGCTGGAGGCGAGGCTTTCCATGTCAGGGTCCTATCGTGAGTCTGGGGGCCTGTTTCTGGTCCCCACTGAAACTGCTGAGCTGAAAGCAGCGCCTCGCTCTGCTCCAGGCGCCCACCTAATCGCTGCTCCCCCGCCCCTTTCCCGCGGCTGCCTTCGCTTCCCTCGAAAAACCCGCCGCCCAGGAAACCGCTGGGGGCGCTCAGACCGCAGCCCCCTCCCTCCCGCCGCCCCCCAGAACCCCTACCGCGACCGCCCAACCCACCTGAAGAGGCGGTGGCTGCCTGGGGTACTCCCTCCCGCCGACTCCCCCCACACCTGCGGGTAGCACTATTTATAACTGCGCGCCTATTCTGGGCCTCTCGGCTGGAGCGCGCTGCAGCGCAGTGCTAATCGCCGCTGGGATCTCTGCGCCCCCCAGGGCCGGGGGAGGTAAATTTAGCTTCAGGAAGCTCCGGGGAACATTTTCCAAAACTCCACGTCCCAGACAGGCAAAACAGAATCCCTTTGCGCGCAGCCTGCTTCCTACTCGCCACTAGGTGGCGCAAGGCTCCTAGACCCCAGCCAGTTAAGGGTTAGGATAGCGGTTCTTCAGGTAGGCCAGATAGGTAAGGAGTTGTGGGTAGCTACTGATTCGAATGGATAAATTTTAGGAGGCTGGGAAAAAACGGTCGAGTCTGAGAGCCGCCAAGAAAGGGGGCCAGAGGCTTCTTGGTATGGATGGGGAAATAACTCATAAGTAAACGAAATGCAAATGAGAGCGTTGTTCCTTGTGCCTAGGGGTGTCTGTGTCCAGGTGTCTGATGCCAACTTCTCTCTGCTGTGAAAATGTGGGACTGTCCCTCTTGACCCTCAGACTTATTTTATTGTGATTTCTTTCTTACCTCTTTGTGCTCCATCCCCAACTCTCACATTGCATCCGTGGTTCTACTTGAAATGAAATCTACAGAAATTTTGGATAGAAGGCTTTTTCTCTTGCTGTGATACTTGAAGGTCACTTCTAGCTTGTCAATCTAGTCTGCTCCTTTCAACCCCAACGAGTCCCCTACCGATTATGCCTGCTAGAGGGCTTCAGGGAGCCCAGGGGTAGGCAGAAACTCACCTCTCTTATCTTGGCATCTTGCTTCTCTACCCACCCTGTCCCAAGCATGAGCTCCTGAAGCAATAGTTTGAGTGTTCAAGACTCTTCTTGGGAGTGAGCATTGGGAGAAGTTACCTCATTTCCTTTTCTCTTCTAGAAAAATGGCAAAGTTGTTGGTAAGGAAAACTATTCTAGTCAAAAGATATTTAGATGAGACCGTAAGTTGGTCCAAGAAGCAAAGGACACAGTGAGCTTGGAGCTTTGATGGGAATCAGGTGCAGCTTAGAAGGGATGCCTCTGCCTCCTGGGCCAGTAAACTAGTTGTTTCTTTTCTTCTGTTTTTGGTTTCTCAAGACAGGGTTTCTCAGTGTAGCTCTAGCTGTCCTGGAACTTACTTTGTAGACCAGGTTGGTCTCCAACTCAGAGATCCGCCTGCCTCTGCCTCCTGAGTGCTGGGATTAAAAAATATTGAGATTAAAGGCTGTGCCACTACCACCTGGCTCAGTTAAACCAGAAGAGGAAGGAAGGTTAATGAGGAACCCTGATTTTGCTTATCATTTCTTTTTTTTCTGGACAGGAGTCTTACTATATTGCCTATGCTGTTCTCCAGCTCCTGGGATCAAACCTCCCAAGTCAGCTTCTAGAATAGAAGGGAAAATAGATGTCTGTGTGCTACCCATCTGGCAAGCCCTAAAGTCGAGATGTGAAAATGTAGGTGCGCTGAATGTCTGTTCTAAAGAGTGTTGTCCTTCTGACCTTGGGATGAATCACTTCACCTTTTGGGCTTGTTTATTCAAATTAGTGTGATTCCCTTTAACATCTTGCCTAGTTTTGTTCTGTGTGTATGTGTATGACTTTTGTTTGTTGCTTGGTTCTGAGATAAGGTTTCAACACCACAATCAAGCCTGCCTACTTTTGAAGTTTACTTTTCCTCCTGAGCACACAGACATTCAGGTGTGGAGGTCAGAGGACAGCTTGCAGAAGTTGGTTCTCTCTTTCCATCATGTGGGTTCTGGGGATTGGAATGATCAGGCTTGATAGCAAGCACCTTTATCTACTGAACCATCTTGCCAACCCTGAAGTGTACTTTAAAAAAAAAAAAAAAACTTAAGCCAGGTACTCAGGAGGCAGAGACAGGGTTTTTTTTTTTTCGAGACAGGGTTTCTCTGTGTAGTCCTGGCTGTCCTGGAACTCACTCTGTAGACCAGGCTGGCCTTGAACTCAGAAATCTGCCTGCCTCTGCCTCCCAAGTGCTGGGATTAAAGGTGTGTGCTACCACTGCCCAGCAGGCAGATCTTTATGAGTTTGAGGCTAGCCTCATCTACATGGTGAGTGGGACCAAGCTACATATTGAGACTTTTTTTAAAAAAATTATTTTGGGACTGGAGAGATGGCTTAGCAGTTAAGAGCACTGGATGCTCTTCCAGAGGTCCTGAGTTCAATTCCCAGCAGCCACATGATGGCATACAACCATCTGTAATGGGGTCTGATGCCCTCTTCTGGTGTGTCTGAAGAAAGCTACAGTGTACTCACATACATAAAATAAAATTAAATATTATTTTGCTTTTTTGAAACTGGGCCACTCTTTAGCCCAGGTTAATTTTGAACTTACTGTGTAGCCCTGGCTAGCCTCAAACTGGAGGTAATCCTCTTGCCTTCACCTCCCAGGTACTGCATTATAAACATGAGCACCACACCCTGCTTGAAGTAGACGGTTGTGAGGAGGATCAAAGCATCATCTAGTCTAGAAAGTGTTTCCAGACTGTGTGACATGTCTTCCCCGGTGAAAGCTTTTTCCAGCTGTGGCTCTCCTTGAGCCTTTGTGAGTCTTCATTCCTCTTTCCTTCCACCGGCTCCCCACTCCCTGCCCCAGCACAGCATACAGCTCAGACTCTGCTTCCTCCGTCTACCACTTCCCTTTGCCAAACATCCTCTCCTCTAGCAAAAGCCTTTGTGCTCAGACCTCAGACTCTGGAATCTACTTCTACTGCTCAGCTTAGACCTTAAGTAAAAGAAGGTAGCAAGCCTGGGTTGAATCAGGGAGTGCTAAGAGCTGGCCAGGCAGAGTGCAGACTCAGGAAAAGGAGAGCACAGGTTCAATGGGCAGGTAGGATCTCTGACTGCACACCAACCTCTCCCTACCTGTGTCAAACCTTTCTCCTTTCTGCAGTGTTCTGGGGCAAGAGGGAGGGCTCAGAAGCATGCAGGCAGCAGTTCTGACATGTATGTTGCAGATCTATGAGCAGATATGGTAGCTCATTCTTACAATCCCAGGACTGGGGAAGCTGTGGCAGGAGGATTGCCACAAATTCAAGGGCAGCTAGGATTCCTTATTCAAAAATCAAACCAATGAGCTGGGCACAGTGGCACACCTGTTTAATCCCAGCACTCAGGGGGAGAGGGGGTAGATCTCTGAGTTCCAGGACAGGCTGGTCTTTGAGTTCTAGGACAGCCAGGGTTACACACAGAAATCATGTCCCTAAAACCAACCAACCAAACAAACAAACAAAAAAACAAAAGTCAGCCGGGTGGTGGTGGCGCAGGCCTTTAATCCCAGCACTTGGGAGGCAGAGGCAGGTGGATTTCTGAGTTCGAGGCCAGCCTGGTCTACAGAGTGAGTTCCAGGACAGCCAGAGCTACACAGAGAAACCCTGTCTCAAAACAAAACAAAACAAAACAAAAAACAAAAGTCAAACCGAAGAAAGAAAAGGGCATACTAGTAAAAAACAAAACAAGAAAAAAGAAAAGAATAAAAGGCATACACCTGTAGTCCCAGCAACTCTGAAAGTCTCAGAAAGAGAAAGGAAGCACTAGATGTGCTGTGGAGATATCCTGTGCAAAGCTCAGAGAAGGCAAGGTGTAGAGCACAGTGCAGTGTGCCAACCAACCATGAGAAAATATGTCCAGTCCAAAAGCCACTCATGGTGGCAGGGAGATAGCTGTTACAGATCAAGGTTAGCCTGGGCTACATAGTAAGACCTTGTCTTAAAAGAACCAAACTAAACATAAACCACATAGAGAATCCGGCCCATTCTCAGTTCTGAGGTGAGCCACTAACGTATAGGCTGCATCCCTAAAATGGCTTCTCAGGTCAGCTCATGTTCAGCACCTTGCTCTACCTCTTATTTTAGCCAGTACAAAAGCTCAGGTTACACAGTTTGGAGAGATGGCTCAGTGGTCAAGAGCACACTTAGCTCTTAAAGAGGATCTGAACCTGATTCCCAGCACTTTGGGCAGCTTGACCTGCAAGTCCAGTTCCAGGAGGAGCCAAAGCTTCTAGCACAGACACGATACACATCATTAAAAACAAACAAGCAGCCGGGCAGTGGTGGCGTAAGCCTTTAATCCCAGCACTTGGGAGGCAGAGGCAGGCAGATTTCTAGAGTTCAAGGCCAGCCTGGTCTACAGAGTGAGTTCCAAGACAGCCAGGGCTACACAGAGAAACCCTGTCTCGAAAAACCAAAAAAAGAAAAACAAACAAACAAAGGCTCACATTCTCACTTACCCTTCATGGCTTGGCTCATTCTCTTCGTGCTCCAACACCTAATCATGTCTGTACACCTAACTCTACAGTGTGATGGGGTTTCTCACCTCCTAGAATGCAAGCTCCACAGGGACAGGACTGTGGGTCCTGTTCATCCAAAGCACCCAGACTGGACTACAGTAAAGTTATATTTGTTGACGACTGAAGATGTCATCTTTGTGTACATTATCTGTGGGTTACCTCCAGGGACCTGGGGGCTTGGAGAAACTGTTGCTGTTAGAATTTTGTGGTTGTTCTCTGTTTGTTGAGTTAGGGTTTCACTCTAGCCCAGGCTGACCTAGAACTTGAGGCAGTCTTCTTGTCTCGGTCTTCCCCATGCTTGGATCCCAGGCATGACCCACTTCCAAGCATTTTTAGAATTCTTTACTTTAGGCGTGTACTGTCATGTGATCCTCCCAGTCTCTCTCACACACACACACACACACACACACACACACCCCTTGCTGGGGATCTCAGGGCCTTACACAGCACCCCACTGCTGAGCTGTATCCCAACAGTTTTGTTTTCTCTTTGTTTATTTTGAGACAGAGTTCTTCTGTACCCAGAGATAGCTTGGAAGTATACAGCCCAGACTGCTGTTGTACCGGAGACACTTCTGTCTCAGCTTCCTGAGTGCCCAGGAATACCATAAGGTATTTCTTTTTTTTTTAAAGATTTATTTATTTTATGCATGTGAGTACACTGTCACTCTCTTCAGACACACCAGAAGAGGGCATGATACCCCATTCCAGATGGCTGTGAGCCACCATGTGGTTACTGGGAATTGAACTCAGGACCTCTGAAGAGCAGTTAGTGCTCTTAACCACTGAGCCATCTCTCCAACCCCCATAAGGTATTTCTTTAGAAAAGTATCTGTTCATTTATTTTTTAGATAGGGTCTCATTGCGTAGCCCTAATTCTGATAAGGGAGCTGAGGAGCCGTCACCACCGCCTGGCATAGCTGTTACCACCACCTGGAATAGCTGTCACCAGCGCCTGGCATAGCTGTCAGTGCTACTGTTTTTATTTTCCATTTTTCCTGAAAGGACAAAATCTTTCTTTTGTCTCTTTCACTAATTTTAAAGTTTGATTATCCAATTTATATTCATTGAAGAATGTGCTGTGTAAATCAGGATGGTCTCAAAATCTTCCTGCCTCTGCCTCTCAAGTGCTGGAATTAAAGGTGTGGGTTACCACATCTAGTACATATAGTATCTATATGACAAAAATCAGACTGTGGTATAGGGAGTTTAATAGGTGCAAAGCCCTGGGTTCAGTCCCCAACATTGAAACTCAACTAAACAACCAACCAAACAGATAACCAACAGGCCCAGAGAAAAAGGAGTTAACTAAGCAAAAGGCCAAAGAAGACCTGGCTCTAGGGGGTGGGGCAGAGAACTATATACTACCTCCAGGTCACTGGGCAACGGTTAGGCCAAAGAGTGCTACTCAGAGAAAGGGGGCATGAACAAGTTGACGTACACGTGCGCGGGCTGCTGATGGTTCACAGACAACATGTGCTGGTGGCTGCCAAGGGGAAGTGAGGAGGCAGTCCACTCACACGGACTGTGTCCTGTCACAGGTGTGCTGGGATAGGCTCAAAGGGGTGGTATGACTACATGGGTGTTTTCTCTTAGAGCTGTGCCTGAACTAGGACACAGTTGGGGACTAGCTGAGTGTGCTTCCCGTGTTCCTTAGGGACAGGGAACTGCCTAGGTCACACCTCCTTTGGGCTGAGTCTTTGGGTCCTCATCCTAGCATCCTGGGCCTCACGGAATAGGGCTCTCTCCTGTCCTCTCTACACAAAGGCTGGGAGGAACATGGTCTCTCTGTTCTGCTCTTCTAGCAGCAGAGAGTCAGCAAAGCTGGTTCTTGGTCTCACTGCTCCCGAGATTGGCCTTTCTTCCTGCTCTCTGCCTCTAAGCCATTCCCAAGCATACATGCCCTTTAAATGTTCAGAACTGTTGGCCTCAAGGCCTATTTATTATATTTATAGTTGAGTGATTACCAGATATCTTAGGGGCAGTCCATTTCTGGTTCTTCAAGTACGTGGGTTGGTGGGCTCACTGTGCCAATTTTGGAGGAATATTAGATCCTGCTGTAGTCTCATTGGAGTCTGAGCCGGCAAGCCAAGCTCATGCGTCCCAGAAGCACAGCAGAGCCAGGAGCTGAGGATAGATGCCCAGGATGAGGCAGGTCAGACGGATGGATAGCTCAGAGCAAGGTTCATGGTTCACTCTTCAGCTCTTTGTGGCCCGTCCTTGGTGAAGGCCAGCTGGCTCCAGGAGTCTTAGGGCTATAGAAAAGATGGGAGAGCTGGGCTGCAGGTTCCACCCCAGAAACTGCAGCCACACCTCCTGACAGTCTGCCCTCCCCTCCCCACCTGAGTGGTGCAGGTCTTGGTGTCAGGGGTGACGGGTGTTCCCTGCCACCATTAATCCAGCAGTTCCTTGATACACCAGCAACAAAGAAGGATGTAGGCAACTTCCTTCAGGGTTCGATACATGCCCTCCCACCCTGTGCCCATCTTAATGACAGGCACCTGGAGACCAGTGCCTCGAAGGGCATCTCTAAGAGAGAAGGGCAGGGCCTGGGTCAGGGGCTGCATTGGTGGCTTCATGTGGACAGCAGCTCAGCAGAAGGGTGTGGATGCTGCCTTTGGGACCTTTTATCCACTGTCCCCACCCCCTCAGGCCTCATGACTAAAAACAAAGGCTCTAGGGTCTAGCAAAAGAAGGTTCTGGGCTTCGGAGCAGGCTGAGTCAGCCTTTCAGACGGGGATGGTGGTTAGAAGGGCGGGCTTGGCCACTCCATCCTTTATCCTCCACAGCCAGGAAAGCTCAGCTTCCCTTTCAAGCAAGCAGTGCTCTGCCTGGTTGCCTCCGGTCCTTTGGTGAGCTCTGGCTGTGGTTGACACTGAGACGCAATCCTAGCAGCTCCTTTCTAGTGTGTTTTGCCTTACTCCAGGGCCCCGAGTGAGCACTGCCAGTTTAAAGCTGGCAGCCTCCCTTGACCTCGGAGCAGGAAGGCACAGCCAGAGCAACAGGCACCAACGATGGTGTGTGAGGTACACTTTACTGACATGACAGGTTACCCCATTACAGCCCTCTTCCCTCTGTCTTGTCCCCAGCTTGTGTGAGATCACATTCGGGAATTCCTTTCCTCATCCTCATTCTCCAGTAGGTATGCTGGGCGGTAGACGGGGTGTCCTCCTGGGCTCAGGCTCTTCAGGGCTGGATTCTGTGTTGTGTTTTCCCGACTCCCCAGTGATGTGTACCTGGAGTGTTGAAACAGGAGCACGTGGGTGATGCGTGGGCTCTTTCTATCCCAGCATCCTCTCGCCCCAGCCCCTCAACAACCTTACCCTCTGTCATACAGGATGCAGTATGGGACAAACAGCTGCCGCAGAAACTCCCAGATGTTTCTGTAGGTCCAGTCCTGGGAAATGACAATCAGTCACTAGAACTGTCCTCAGCCACACCTACCACAGCCATCTTGGGAAGGCCCCATCCCAGGACTTTTGTTCCTACAGCCTTGAGGAAGGCCTGCTATCTGGATCTCTACTGCACCTGGCTCTGTGTGGGGTAAATAGAGAGACAGAGAGTGTCCTTACCCTCTGCCCAACTCCGTTCCTAGGCACCTACCCCTGTGGTATAAACTCCACAGGGATGGTGAGGGCTGTCTTTAAGTCTAGAGCTTTCTGTCATGGTAGAAGTGTGTAGCCACATGTGGTCTCATATTGTGGGATTTGAAATGTGGCTAGGATAACTTAAGAAGTGAGTTTTGGGGCTGAAGAAATGGCTTAGAGGTTAAGAGCACTGCTTGCTCTTCCAGAGAACCCAGGTTCAATTCCTAACACCCACATGGTGACTACAATCATCTGTAATTCCAGTTTCAGGGTACTAACTCCCTCTTCTGGCCTCAAGCACCTGGTGTGCACATGGTAGCCAGACATACATGCAGGGAAAACACCCATACACATAAAATATTGGCTTAATTTTTCTTCTCCCCTTTCCTTCCTGCTTTTCCTTTCTCTCTTCCTTTCTTTCGAGCAGGGTCTTACAGTGTAGCTCATGCAGTTCTCAAGATGGCCATCCTCCTGCCTTATCTTCCTACCCACTGGGAGTTGAGGTGTGTACTAGGCATGTCTTACATATCCTAGGCTGGCCTTTTACTCACTGTAGAGCTGGGAATGACCTTGAACTTCTGTCCTCCCAAGTCCCCAGTGATTTCTACTTAAGAGTGGTGATGGGCAAGCTTGGGCAGGCATGGTGGTAGAGACTGAACCCGAGGCTCTGTGCATCCAGGGAGGCCCTTCACCAGCTCAGCTTCATCCTGGAGTTATGTGGTGTTGAGAATCGAACCTATAGCTTTGTATAAGCTAGGCAAGGGCTCACCCAAGCCCATCCCTAGCCCTTAGAACTGATTTTTACATTTTATCTAATTTAAAAAAATGACATTATGAATCACATGCCATAAATTTCATCTTCTGAAAGTAAATAATTCAGGGCTTTTGTTTTCTGGAGACAGGGTTTCAACAATTCTCCTGCCTCAGCCTCTCAGTGGTTTTAATTATTCGTATTGTTTTTCTATTTTTGAAATAGTGTCTCATGTCTAGACTGGCCTTAAGCTATGTAGGCAAGGCTGTCCTTGAACCTTAAAAAATACTGTATTTATTTGTGTTTTGGAGGGAGGCAGGGAATGTGTGAGGTCAAAAGGCAAATTGTGGGAGTCAGTTCTCTTCTGTCATATTGGTCCTGGAGATAAAAGTGAGGTCATCAGGCCTGGCAGCAAGTGCCTTTACTGGCTGAGCCATCTTGCCAGCCCTGGTCTTAAACTTCTAATTCTCCTGAAGGCTGAAATTATAGGCATGAGTACATGATTTTCAGGTGTAAGCACTATACCAAACGAACTACATCCTCAGCCCCATGAGCTGTATTTCAGTTCAATTACAATTTAACTATGAACAAATGATGACTATCGTATTGGATGGCACAAGCCCAGGTCACTGTTTTGTCCGCAGTGAAAAGCACAATGCCTATCACTGAATTAGTGCTCAGTTTAATTGGTTAAAAAAGGATGAATGACCAGCACTGCCTGCCTTGGGAGACTGGGTGTCTTGGGAAGGTACAGGGACAGGAGGCAGTCAATCCTGTCTCATTACCAGCAGCGGGCTGATGCGCATGAACGAGGGCCAGCCAGGGTCGGTGGGACTGAAATGGCTGAGGCTACACGAGTAGGGGTCAGTCCGTCGAGTACCCATCAGGACAGCCTCCAGCTGGGGGTGCTTTTCCTGAAGCTCACCCAGGGCCTGCTTCATGTTACCCTCAGCCTCTAACACCCGTAGATTATACCTTAGGGAGGAAGAGAACAGGGATGAGGACCAAGGTAGATTCTACCAAGGCCCTCTGCGAGCCCAGTCCTCTAGGTCTCAGTACCTCTTGATGGTGTCCTGCAGAAACTGTTCCAACTCAGGGAAGGGCGAGATGCTACGGATGTACAGGATCTGGAGAGGTTTTGGAACATCAGGAAATTTTCTGGGGAGAGTAAGGATCCACAGACTTGCCAGTATGGAGAAGAAAACTGCTCTCCAGGGAGCTCAGTATTCTCTTTGGCCCTGGGACTAACACCCACACTCTCTTCCCTTTTCCTTATCTTTTCCATCCAGAAACTCAGACCCACTTCCCAAGAAGCCCACTCTGATCTCTTATCCCTTTGTTTTGAGACAAGGTCTTGCTGTGTAGCTCAGGCTGTCCTGTAATTCATTATGTCACAGTTGGCCTCAAACCTACAGTGTTTCTGCTTCAGCACCATGAGAGTTGGGATTACAGGTGTGTGCCAGTTTGCCTAGTTTATTCTGATCTCAAACCTAAGCATCAGTTCTTTTATTACGAGATTTAAAAACTCCCCTTGCCCTGAGGAAAAAAACTGGGTTTCACTGGCTTTTTATGTCGTCCAGGCTAGCCTCAAATCATAGCAATCTGCTTCTACTGCCTCTGTTGGGGTTGAAGGGACACACCACCACAGCCAGCTGAGAATTTTTTTTAAAGATAGGGCTTTAAAAAACTCATAGGCTGAAGAGTTCATTCAGCAGTTAAAAGCACTTGGTACTCTTGCAGAAGATCTGGGTTCCATTCCCAGAATTCACATGGTAACTCACAACCATCTGTAAGTCCTGGCACTGAGGATCCAACACCCTCTTCTGACTAACCCACGTACTTGGTGCTTACACATAGAAAACACTCCCTAGGCTAGCCTCCAGTTCCTGAGCTCAGATGAAGCAACCTCACTCCCTGACTGCTGGGACTGCAACCATGCCAGGTTCTATGATTGCCAGTAAATCTCACCTCCCCAGTCGGACCTGTTGAATTCCCTGTGGTTGACTACACACCCAGACCTGAGGTTAGATATATACCAGATGTTCAATAAATATGGGGGAACGCCACTGACTACCCTAACCTAGCTACCTTCCTCCCGAGCACCACTGGTGTACTCCATCGCTCTGCTTTCTGGGATCGGGAGCTAGAGAGGTTTCAAGTAGGTCTGAGGCCTTAGCTCCCAGGGGTAGGCTTACCTCTGCACAGCTGCATGGAAGAGGTGCAGGAGGGCGGTGCAGTCCTTGCCCCCGTTGAAGCCCACACAGAGCTGGGAGAGGTGGTACTTAGCCAGCGCAGTCTCAATGGTCTGTAGGGCACCTGCTACCTTTTTCCCCAGACAAGACCCTGCCATGCAGGCAGGGAAGAGAACATCAGCTAGGTATACAAGAACGTCCGCAAGGTATATATGGCTATAAAAGAACTCATGTGACCCTTGCTTAAAGACTTTCACTATTGTCCCGGTGTTCTGGGATTAAACCAAACTCTTCCATGGTGTCCTGCATGCTCTACCTCTCTGCCTGCTCTTCAACTCCACCTCACGTGACCATGGTTTTAGTCTTTCCTCTGGGGCAGGGACTGAGGGCTGGAGTATGGGCTGCTCTGGCCTCCCTTCATCTCCTGCAGCTCCACTGGCTTCCTGCCAGTCTCTTTCCATATTGCTTGCTCTTGCTTACCTCCAGGTGCAACCACATCTCCATCTCTTGTGCTCCTTATTTGTCCAGAGAACCCTTCTCCCCTAGATCAAAGCTGGTATCTCTGGTGTGGAATTCTGGAATCCACTTCAGAATCACGTCTCACCTCTAACCACTGGTTTACCAGCTAACCCGTTTTGTGGAGCACACCAGTTCTGACAAGCTACACCAACCCTCACACCCAGCACAGCGCTGGCGAGAGGAGGTATCAATAGTTATTGGGAGAATGAATAGATCAACAGAGACTCTCTTCCACCTTTTCCCGAATCTGTGGGAAGCCCTCTGAAAGCATTGTTAAACCTAGAGGAGAACCCAGACTCTGATCCCCACTGCTTTTCCCAAGGAGACGCCTACCTGACTCAGCGAGTTTGTACACCGCCTCACTAGCCTTCTCAACAGCATCGGGGAGGTAGGGGACCAGTGATCCTTGGGGCAGACGTGCAGTCAGATAGGCCAAACATTCCTCCAAGGGCTCTTTTTCCTCAGAGTCTAGAATCAGCTTCACCTGAAAGTAGTTGCTGCTCCAGTCAGGGTAGGATCCCAGGTTAAGCCTACGCCCAAAGTGGGCCTGAGCCTCGGACAGGATGGGGGCAATAGAGCCCTCAGACGCAGCCACATACAGCTCCTTCAGATGGAACTGTACAGCTGTATTTTGGAACAGTCCTTTCAGTCCCTCCAAAACTCGTCGCAGCAGCTCCGGAATTCCTGGGAAGAGGTAGACATTTCGGACAGAGACCAGCGGGAATCTGAAAGGGTGACCAGTTCGAGGATCTGTACCGTAATGCAGGCGGGCAGAGGAGGGCACCATGGACAGCTTCTCCCAACCATCTCCTCCTAGGGTTTTGATGGCTGCTTGGAGCTCAGGGTGTGGTTTGAGCTCCTCCCCAAAAGCCAGTGCCACTGCCTCAAAGGTGACATCGTCATGAGTGGGGCCAATGCCCCCCGCAGTGAGGACGTGAGTGAAGCGCCTGGAGAAGGAGGTGACTTCGGACGCAATGGTGGCTACTTCATCAGGTACAACAGAGACTCGGCAAACCTGAACCCCCAGGGAGCGCAGCGTCCGGCAAAGAAAGTAAGTGTTGGTATCTTGCGTGTGTCCCTAGGGATTGGAGGAAGGATGAGATTGTCAGTGCTGGGGAATGGCGGGGAGATGGGAGGTAGCTACATCTGTCTAGTAATGGAGTGTTGGGTTTTGGAGGGTGGGCTGCCAGGGAGCCTGGAATGGGAATGAGAATGAGAAAACCCATTTGAATGTAGAGAAGAGGGGATTCTCCTTGGGGCTACCTGGCTATCAATAAGACCTCCTTTCTTTCCCTTGGTGTCTTTGGTTCTGCTGCTGGCCGCATCTGCCAATGAACACTGGGTTTCTCAGCCACTGCTCTCTCCCTGCCAGTGCATGTCCAGCCACAGGCTGGCTGCAGCCCCCCACTTCCTTTGGGTACTCAGTGTCTGGCTGATTCTGGCAGCCTCACCACATCCCTGGTTATTTTGCTCAGTGGCATCCCAGACGCAGTCATGGTCAGTTAGGCCTTTCATTTTTATCAATTCCACTTCTAAAAACCCTCCCATCTTCTCTCCTCCACATTTTCACTTCCTTACATCTTTCTCCTGGGTGATGCTGACAGCCTCTTGGCCGGACTCTAGCCCTCAGCTCAAGCCCTCAGCCCCCAGCCTCCCACCTCCAGCCCCTACCCCCCAACCCCACCTCCTGGCGTCCTACCCCCTAGCCCTAAATCTTGCTCCACTGTGTTCTGCTCCCTAAGTAACCTGTTTAATGCGTCACTGTGTTCGCTGAATCACTGCTGTGCTCAGAAACATGTTGGCTCCAATTGTATACAGAATAAAGTTCAAATTCTTTTGCAATCATTAAAGCTGGCTGGCAATACTGTGTGCCCTGTCTTCTTTCCTAGCCTTAACCTGTACTTCTCTACAGATGGATGAGTGGTTAGAGTTTGGGTTGGACCTTGTCTCAAAGTAAAATAAATGAAAAGTTTGTGTTCTGGAGCTGAAGAGCTGACTTAGTAGCCAAGAGTGCTTGCTGCTTTTCCAGGGAACCCAAGCTTGGTTCCCAGACTGGTTGGGCAGCTCATGACAGCCTTAAGTCTCACTCCAGGGAATTGGACTCTGTGAGTTCAAGGGCAGTCTGGTTAACATAAAAAAAAGAGTTCTAAGCCAGCCAGGGATACCCAGTCAGACTCTGTCTCAGAAAAAAGTTTGTGCTCTGGAGTAAGGAAGAATTGGGCTAGAATTCCATCTCTACCACTATTTTCCTTTTTATTTATTTTGAGACAAGGTTTCTTTGTGTAGCCCTGGCTGTTCTGGGACCGGCTATGTGGATCAGGCTGGCCTGAAACTCACAAAGATTCACTTGCCTCTGCCTCCCAAGTGCTGGGATTAAAGGCATGTGTCACCTTGCTCCTAGGACTTTGGAGCTTATGACCTTGCGTAAGTTTCTTAACCTTTTTGAAGCTCTCGCTCTCTCTCTCTCTCTCTCTCTCTCTCTCTCTCTCTCTCTCTCTCTCTGTTTGTTTTTCGAGACAGGGTTTCTCTGTGTAGCCCTGGCTGTCCTGGAACTCACTCTGTAGACCAGGCTGGCCTCGAACTCAGAAATTTGCCTGCCTCTGCCTCCCAAGTGCTGGGATTAAAGGCATGTGCCACCACTGCCTGGCTGAAGCTGTTTCTTAATCTATAGAGATCTGTAATAAGAACCCCAACTTCATCGGGCCTTTGAAGTTTGTAAGGCCACATGTGATGTAGTAAGTGCAGACCAGCCTCTCTCTGGCAGACACTAAAAAAGATCAGAGTAACTATTACTGTGACCACCCTATGCTTGCCACATCCTCTAACAACACCCCGACCACTCAGAATAGAGTCCTTTCTTCTAGCACCTTCCTTCTAGCTCACCTATCCAGTCTGCTGAGCTCCTTGAATAACTTCCAAACGTGTGGGATACACATCACATACACCTGTGCCTCCTCTTGCTGTGCCTCCTGTAACTTGTTATGTGGCTACTCTGCCCTGCCCGCCATCATACTTCCTGGCAACTTGTAGGAAAGTTACTACCCATCTTTCAACAGGAAAAACTCAACGGGAGGGTCACTTTTCCTCCAATTTGTTAGGACTCACTCCAGGGCCCGACTTTGGCAAGAAAGGGGATTCCCACTTCAGTTTCCCTCCTTTCACCAGAAAGAGAGTCCAGAGCAATAGAGTGCCACACTCTTCCCCTCTTCTGTTGAAGACACACCTTAAGGATCTCATCTCCAACAATGATGATTCCTGCTGTCATGCTGCGTCCTGGTCCCGGATGCAGTTCAGAGGGTTCAGAGGCCCTTGATGCCATGGTCCTGCCCTCTGTGCTCTTTTGCAAGGCTCTCCAATAGCCACTCAGAACCCCAAATTGGGGCCGTAAGTACTGAGAGGCCGCCAGGTCTACAGGATGCTGGAGGCCATACCCTGAGTACACAGTCCGGAGTTGAGGGAACCTGGAAGAATCAGAAAGGACAATGAAGACGGCAGGAGTGTATCTTCTTCCTTCTTAGAGGAAGGAAGGCTCAATCTTCTTTAGTCACCTTTACTCCGGCCTCTTTAATGTACTCTTAAGCCCCAGGTTCCTAAAAGCGTCTCGATTCCTATTTCTTTAATGTGCCACGTTCTCCCAAAACCTACCACTTTAGATATTTCCGTCTGCCGAGCAGGTCTAAAATTTGCTCTATCTTGGGTATCTGCACCTTTAAATGTCTCTTCTCTTCGGATCACCTGTCCCTTTAAATGTCTACTTTATTCTGGGCCTTAGGGTCCCTTTAAATACATTTCTTTCCTCCCTCCGCCACTGACCAGGACTCAAGCTACTTCTGCACCCTTTCTATCCCGAAATCTGTTTTTCTCACCAGGCTTCAGATCACTGATCTCATATCATCCCACTTCTATTTTGCCCCCTGCACAGGGTCATTCGCTCTTTCCTTTCCGCAGGTCCTAGGACAGCTTCCGTACTCGAAGTCCCGCCTTACTATACTTCATGTTGATTGGTTATTCTGTCTGTCGCTCACTCTTACCAATGGTCCTATTGGTCTAGCCGGCAATCGCTCACGCGCAGCTAGGCGCTAAAGGAAATGCTAAGTTGTTATTGGCAACACCATGTAGTCATCACTGCCCGGAAACAAAAATAGGGGCCCGACCTTAGCCCATGGAGGGCGGGACTTAAAGAGTTTGGGACACGAAAGGAGTATTTTGGGAGGTGCTTTAAGAACTGTCGGGTCCTGCTTTGTAGTACTAGAAGAAAATGAAGGTCTGATTCTGTTTCATTCAAATATTAAAAAACAGTTCAGACAAAGCTCCAGTATATAGCCCTGGAATTAACTTGTTTATACAGATCAGCCTGGTCTGGAACTGCCTGGGGAGTGGTGGGATTCAAGGCGTGTGTTACACTTTGTTGCATCACATTTCTTTTTCTGTCTCTCTCTCTCTGTGTTTCTCTGTGTAGCTTGGCTTTCCTGGAATTCACTCTGTAGACCAGGCCTATTAACTCCTCCTGCCTTCCAAGTTCTGGGATTAAAGGTGTGCGCCACCACCGCAGGCCTTGCCTCTTAAATTTGAGGGATCAAGGTGGGTTCAAGAGATCTTCCCGTCAGAGTCCGTGAGCTGGGCAGCCCAAGATAGTGTGCCAAGCTGGGGTCCTATTTTGTGGCAGAAAGATGATGAAGACGGTGTTATTAGCCTTGACAATAGGGTGTGAGCTGCAGGATGTGGAACCTTCGTTTTTCTAATATAAACTGAAAAACTACTTAAGCCTCTTTGACATTAAAAACCCTTTCCTGCCCCACCTGTCTTCAGAAGATCACTTTTCAATGATGGGTCTCTGGAGAGAGGGGTAAGTAGGAGTATAACATCCTATCTCATTCCTATTTCAGTGCCCCTCCACCCTTTGCTTTGCTGGGGGAAAATAGCTTAATCATCTGGGATTTAAAAGAAAAAAAGCTTTTACTATTATTGTATGTTTGGGGAGGGTGGCAGTGCCACAGCAATGCATGTGGAGGCCAGAGGACAGCTTTCTGGAGTCTCTTCTCTTTTCCCTTTACATGGGTCCTAGGATCTAACCCACATGGTCCAATTTGAGTGGCCAAGCCTTACTCTTTTACCTGCTGAGCCGCCTCACTGTCCCTGGATATTATGGTATGCAAATTAACTTGGAGGCTTGCTAAACCACAATTGACCATATTTTACTCCACAGAATATTTTCAAATAAATATGCTCTTGTTACATGTGGGGAACATCTTGGCAATGCGGCTTAGTGGTAGAGCACTGATCTAACATTGGGAGGATCTTGGTTCATATCCCAGGACTGAAAAAGAATTACGTATTATTGGATACAAGTTCAGAAAGGTGAAGGGGTGCCACACTATCTTAAAATGCTACAGTGAATGTAAGACCAGCCTTAAGTAGTAAGTCCTGTGGGGTTTTCTTAGTTTAAAAGAAGAAAACAAACAAAAACAAAAAAAAAAAAAAAAAACAAACAGCTAAAAACGGGGTGGGCAGGGGAATGAATGAGTGTGACCAGAATGTATTATATACTTGCTTGAACACTTAAACTGGGAGTGGTGATACACACCTGTAATCTTAGCACTTAGGAGGCAGAAGCTGGTGGATCTGAGTTTGAGGCCAACCTGGCCTACAGAGTGAGTTCCTGGCCAGCCAAGGTCACACAGTAAGACTCTGTCGCAAAACAAGCAAAGAGCAATAATTTTTTTTTTTTTTTTGTGGTTTTTCGAGATAGGGTTTCTCTGCATAGCCCTGGTTGTCCTGGAACTCACTGCATAGATCCAGGCTGGCCTCGAACTCAGAAATCCGTCTGCCTCTGCCTCCCACGTGCTGGGATTAAAGGTGTGCACCACAACTCCCCGGCAAACAGCAATAATTTTAAAAAGAATATAATTAGCAAAAAATATCACCAAAACCACACCAAACATCCACTTGCCTAATGACTTACTGCCTAATATGTGGTATTTTTTTTTTATTGTATTAAAAGTGCCATCTAACTTCTTCTTAAACAAATGTTATAAGTTTGTCCGTGCTTGGTAGAACCACTGAACTTAACACATCACTCAGCTCATTTCTCAGGACTCCATGGAACTGTGTGCCTAGAGTCTGCACTTTGGTTTTTTTTTTTTGTTCTTGTTGTTGTTTTTTTTTTTTTTTGGTTTTTCGAGACAGGGTTTCTCTGCATAGCCCTGGTTGTCCTGGAACTCACTCTGTAGACCAGGCTGGCCTCGAAATCAGAAATCTGCCTGCCTCTCCTTCCAAAGTGCTGGGATTAAAGGCGTGGGCCACCACTGCCCAGCAAGTCTGCACTTTGAACATTTCCAGGTGATAAGGATTTCTTTAGGTTTGTGAGAGTTGATGGGGCTGGAGAGACGATCCATCAGTTAGGAGCACTTGTTGCTTGTTAGCCAAGGCCTGGCTCCGATGCCCAGGCAGCACATGGTGAACACATATATGTGAGGACAATGCTGGTACATATGATAGGAACCTGAAGCAGAGCCCTGTAAAGCTTCAGTCTCAGCACTTGCGAGGAAGAGACAAGGCCAGTCTGGTCTACACAGTGAGAGCCTGTTTTAAAACCAAATACATCCAAAAAAAAAAAAAAAAGGTTTTAAATATGACAGTTGAACT